AGGGGCAGTCAGGTAAGAACATCAAATTAAAAACGAACCAAGATTGGTAAGGAAAGATCAGGCTCGCTTCTCACGCCTGTATAACCCACCAGCACTTTTGGGAGGCCCCAGGGGCGCGCCAGATCACTGAGGGTCAGCGGTTCCCAACGACCAGCCTGGCCAAACATGTCGAAACCCTCGTCTCGTACTAAAAACACAAAAAAAATTAGCCAGGACATTGTGGCATGTGCCTCTAATCCAGACGCTATCTCCAGGGATAGGCGACATGAGTATAGGAGCACCTATGCGCAGTACGATATCTGAGCGCGAGGATTGGAGTAGCCAAGATTTCCTGCTTGGTCTCCTATACATGTATACAGCGCAAGACTGCATCACAATAAATATAGATGAGGATATTTATCCGGCTGATGTCGTACGCGATAGGCTCGCTCAGACACTGCTTGAATACCAGACATCCTTTGTAGAAGTATGAGAGCTGATGAGGAGTCTATCGACAATCGAGGAACAACAATATAAAATCAGGTGCCAATCCCTGTTCATCTCTAACTAATGTGCCAAAGTAGACCTAGTGTGCGCGCCGTTCTTTGCTGCCCATCCTTCCCCTCTCGCCTCGCCCTGCCCCTCCTCTCTGTGCCTGCAGGCAGCACACACACACACACACACACACACACACACAAGGACTACGAGCCAGTGCTAGCATCTGTGACATTAGACTCGAGTCGTGACTGACTGCGAGAGACTGACGATAGGCCTCTGGCATGTCAGTTCATCGTTGGTGTCCATGAGGCGCGAACCCCTAGTGTAGCTCACTGAAGCTATTTTTCACAACATTCTTCTCCTCACCCGCTCTCGTGACTAGATGCGGACCCCACCTTCCTATCGAATGTTTATCCACCCCTACACCTCCACCCACTCCTCTGGCCTTGCTTTCCACTGGTCTCCGGCACTCCGTTTAGCATGAGAGGTGAGAGTACACGTTACGCTCATGGTGTGAAGGAGAAAGCAGCCTGTGACCGTTGAGGACGATGATAAGTGGATAAGTGTGGGTTTGTCCGAGACGCTCTTTGTCAGGTTGAGAAGCTCCCTTCTGTTCTGAGTTTGTTGGGTATTTTTCATTATGAAGTGTATTGGGTTTTGTTGGATTGGGTATGTTCAGATGATCCTGTGCTTTGGTTTTTATTTTATTGACGTGATGTATTAATTAACTGACTTTTGGATGTTAAATCGACCTCGCCTCCCTGCGATGAATCTTACTTGGTCATGGCTTACAATCTTTAGATGTTGTAGGGTTCAGTTTGCTAGTATGTTGTTGAGGGTTTTTGTGTTTATGTACATGAGAGATATCGTGACTTCTTGTGGTGGCTCACACCTGTCATCTCAGCACTTTGGGAGGCCGAAGCGGGTGGATCACGAGGTCAGGAGTTTGAGACCAGCCTGGGCAACGTGGTGAAACCCTGTCTCTAGTAAAAATACAGAAACTAGCTGGGCATGGTGGCGGGCACTTGTAGTCCCAGCTACTCGGGAGGCTGAGACAGGAGAATCACTTGCACCCGGGAGGCGGAGGTTGCAGTGAGCTGAGATGGCGCCACTGCATTCCAGCCTGGGTGACAGAGCAAGGCTCTGTCTCAAAGAAAAAAAAAAAGAAAGTTATTGAACGTTGTGAAAATGGTAACTTATAATGGTTTTGTTTGCCTTTTTATAAAAATAATTTAGGTGATTTAACTATAAACTATAAAATATACCCATTTTAAAGTTTATAATTCATTGATTTTTAGTGTATTCGTGGCCCTGCAACCATCCCCTCTATCTAATTCTGAAACATTCTGTCATCCCCAGAAGAAGCCCCATCCCTGTTAGCAGTCACGCTCCCACTGGCTCTCTCCCTGGCTCCTTTCTGTCCGTGGATTGGCCTGTTCTGGATGTTTTGTATCAGTGGACTCTCCGCTGTGGCCGTTGGTGTCTGGCTTCCCTCCCAGCGCATGCTGTTCTTGAGCTGTGTCCAGGTTGCCACATGGGTCCATGGGTCAGGACCGTGGCCTGTGTGAGGGCAGTTTTCAGTGTCACATGATGCAAATCCTGCCGTGGGCGAGAGCGCCTCCACCCCATGCGTGGTCCTTGGTGGGAGGCGGGACGAGTGGCGGCCACACGCGTGTGCTGCCCTTAGTGCCCCCCAGCCCTCAGAGGTGGAGACGAAGCCGCTTCCCTGGGTCACCGGGGACTGGGCTCTGACCAGCGCTTGCTCTTGGCTGCTACGCTGTGATGTCCAGCAGCAGGTTTTGGGCCGGCTGAGCTAACCCTCCCTCTCTTCCTTCGCAGGCCTCCTCGCTGGGGAGGCAGAGTCCTCGCGTGGTCTCCTGCCTCGAGCACAGCCTGTGCCCCGGGGAGCCTGGCTTGCAGACAACAGCAGGTACCTTCCTTCCTCCTCCCCCTGCTCAGGTCCGCCGAGGCCTTTGTGGCTGTGAGAGACAGAATACCTGCTGGGTCTGGCTGAGCTGTGGACCAGCACACTGGCTTCCAGAGTCCAGGGTGTCCCAGCTCCCACTCGTTCAGATGGAGCTGTGGGGCAGAGTGGTCAGGACTCCGTCTTCCTGTTCTTTAGCAGGGGCAGGGAGCCCAGGCAGCCCCCCCAGCGGAGGTCCCAGGCGCCAAGCTGAGGCTGCTTCACCTTGCCAGGTGTCGGGGAGGGGCGGCTTGCTGAGGGAGCCGGGGCTGAGAAGGTGGAGGGCGGCGAGACAGGCAGCACCCCGGGTTCCTTGCACCTTCCTGCGCTGCTGCTTGCCCGGTGGGCATCAAGGTCCCATGCCCGCCTCCTGGCCACCTGTGTTGGGCCCACGGGGAGGAGGTGACGCTGTAGGGCAAGGGTCTCTGTGACTGTTCTTTCTTCCCCTGGCTGGGCTCCTTCTGTGGGCCAGATGTAGGACTGCATCTCTTTCTGTATCAAACTGGTCCCCACCCCAGTCCTCGAAGAAGGCCGCGCCGTCCCCGTGTTCCCTCACATGGCTCCTGCAAGGATGCGGTGGTCACTGAGGGTCTGGGCACAGCCGGGCAGCTCCAGGTCATTCCCTCGCTCCAGCGAGGTGCCTGCCACCCAGGGTCCTCTGTGCCCTGCAGCTGCATGTTCTGTGCATGGGCTGTGTGTGGTGCGCACCTGTGTGCCCTGCCATGCAGGCTGTGTGGCTGCCCTAGAGGCCTCCTGCCCTGGGCTCCCAGGCCCTCAGCCTCCCAGCCTTGGGCTACACTGCTCCCTGTCTGGATTGATTGAGCCCCAGCTATTTCCTTTGTTTGCTTAAAAATTTGCCTAATTGGAGACTAAACATGCTGAGGAATGGTGACACACCCCTGTTCTTTTGGGGAAACCCTGGATCTGATGACAGCGGCTGTCTGTTGGGCCGTGTACCTCGCATGTCTGCTGTATGTGGCCCTGCAGACGGAGCATCAGGGACTGGCGTTGTCGAGGCACCGTTGGTGCTGTCCCTGCATGCTCCTTGGTGCTGTACTGAGCTATGCAAGTGAGGGTTCAGGGTCCCCCCGTTTGAGGAGTCATGGAGCCCGGTGTGAACCCAGCTCCACTGAGTCCTGCTGCTCCTTCCACCCTAATGAGACAGATGTCGGTCTCTTTCTAGTCCACTTACTCCCCAAACCCTCGCAGGCTTCTCTGTTCAGGAAGACAAGCAGTCTCTCAGAAAGAGACACCCCCGCCCCCCCCCCCAAAAATCCTTGGAATCTGTGTGCAGCTCACCAGCCGTGCTCCTGTGTGCATCCGTCGTGGGGTGTCCTGTTGGGTCCCCTCATGGGAGGCTGATCCTGGCAGCGTGCAGAGGGCCTCATCCCTCGGGCTCCTCCTACCCCAGGCGTCCGTAGTCTCGGCAGGATGGTTGGGACGGGTGAGGCAAAGTGCTCACGTGGGCTGCTGTCTTCTCCCCAGTGGTGTCCATGGGCTCTGGAGACCATCAGTTCAACCTCGCAGAGATCCTGTCACAGAACTACAGTGTTCGGGGAGAGTGCGAGGAGGCCTCGAGGTGCCCAGAGAAGCCCAAGGAGGAGCTGGAGAAGGACTTCATCTCCCAGGTACTTGCCCGAGGTGATCCCGCCCCTGTGTTGGGTGGAGCCCTCGGGGGTAAGCCTCACAGTTTCTGTGCGGCTCAGATTCCACATTGGTAAGTGCTAAATTGTACATCTTTTTGCAAAGTGCCAGATGCTGTCCTAGGAGCTGAAATTCAGTGGAGACCAGGTCTTTCATGGGGCTGTCTGAGCAGTACAGTGGTCAGGGATTAAGCCAACTGCTCTCAAATCTTCTGGTCTCAGAACCCACTTTGTACTCTTAAAAATTATTGAGAGTTTCAGGCCGGGCGCGGTGGCTCACGCCTGTAATCCCAGCACTTTGGGAGGCTGAGGCGGACGGATCACGAGGGCGGGAGATCGAGACCATCCTGACCAATATGGTGAAACCCCGACTCTACTAAAAATACAGAGAATTAGCCGGGCATGGTTGGGGGGCATCTGTAGTCCCAGCTACTCGGGAGGCAGAGGCAGGAGAATGGTGTGAACCCGGGAGGTGGAGCTTGCAGTGAGCCAAGATCGCACCACTGCACTTCAGCCTGGGAGACAGAGTGAGACTCCGTCTCAAAAAAAAAAAAAAAAAAAAAAAACTAGGCTGAACACAGTGGCTCACGCCTGTAATTCCAGCACTTTGGGAGGCCGAGGTGCGCAGATCACGAGGTCAGGAGATAGAGACCATCCTGGGTAACACGGTGAAACCCCGTCTCTACTAAAAATCCGAAAACAAAATTAGCCGGGCGTGGTGGTGGGTACCTGTATTCCCAGCTACTCGGGAGGCTGAGGCGGGAGAATGACGTGAACACCAGGAGGCAGAGCTTGCAGTGAGCTGAGATCACGCGCCACTGCACTCCAGCCTGGGCGACACAGCAAGACTCTGTCTCAAAAAAAAAAAAAAAGAAGAATACAAAATTAGCCAGGCGTGGTGGTGCACGTCTGTAGTCCTGGATACTCGGGAGGCTGAGGCAGGAGAATCACGTGAACCTGGGAGGCGGAGGTTGCATTGAGCTGAGATCACGCCATTGCACTCCAGCCTGGGCGACAGAGTGAGATCCTGTCTCAAAAAAAAAAAAAAATTGAGAGCTTCGAGGGGCTTTGTTAATGTGCTTTATCTATTACTTTTTTATTATATGAAAAGTTAAAACTGACATAAATTGGCTGGACGTCGTGGCTCACGCCTGTAATCCCAACACTTTGGGAGGCCGAGGTGGGCAAATCACCAGGTCAGGCGTTTGAGCCTAGCCTGGCCAACATAGTGAAACCCTGTCTCTAGTAAAAATACAAAAATTTTCGGGCGTGGTATCTCACACCTGTAATCCCAGCACTTTGGGTGGATCTCTTGAGCCTAGGAGTTTGAGGCCAGCCTGGGCAACATAGCAAGACCTTGTCCCCCAAAAAATAAATAAATAACAGGCCAGGTGCAGTGGCTCACGCCTGTAATCCCAGCACTTTGGGAGGCCGAGGCGGGTGGATCACCTGAGGTCAGGAGTACAAGACCAGCCTGACCAACGTGGTGAAAGCCCGTCTCTACTAAAAATACAAAAATTAGGTGGCCGTGGTGGCGGGCGCCTGTAATCCCAGCTACTCGAGGGGCTGAGGCAGGAGAATCACTTGAACCTGGGAGGCAGAGGTGGCAGTGAGCCGAGATCGGGCCATTGCACTTCCAGCCTGGGGGACAGAGCAAGACTCTGTCTCAGAAAAAAAAAAAATTGACATGTAAAAATACTTATTCAGTAACTCATTTTAAAATGACATGAATAAATCAGTTACATGTTAATATAAATATTTTTATGAAAATGAAAAAAATATTCTGTACCAAAAGAAAAAAATTAGTGAGAATAATTAATTTTTAGTTTTCCAAATGTCTTTGAACGGAGAAGCCAATGTGAAAATCCAACTCTGTCCTTTTTTTATGAGTTGGAGTCTCGCTCTGTTTCGCAGGCTGGAGTGTAGTTGGTGTGATCTCGGCTCACTGCATGCTCCGCCTCCTGGGCTCAAGTGATTCTCCTGCCTCAGCCTCCCGAGTGGCTGGGACTACAGGCGCCGCCACCACGCTCGGCAAATTTTTGTATTTTTAGTAGAGACGGGGTTTCACCATGTTGGCCAGGCTGGTCCCAAACTCTTGACCTCGTGATCCGCCCAGCTCGGCCTCCCAAAGTGCTGAATCACAGACGTGAACCACTGCGCCTGGCCAAGCTTCTGTCTTTAAAAAACTTACTTTTTTTGAGACAGGATCTCACTCTGTTGCCTAGGTTGGAGTGCAGTGGTGCAATCATAGTTTACGGCAGCCTCGAACTCCTGGGCTCGAGGGATCCTCCTGTCTCAGCCTCCTGAGTAGCTGGGTCTATAGTCGCACGCCACCATGCCTCACCAACTTTTTTATTTTATTTTTTTTGTAGAGTTCTTGCTATGTTGCTAGGGCTGGTCTTGAACTCTTGGTCTCAAGCAGTTTTTCTGCCTATAGGTGTGAGCCACTGTACCTGACCCAGTTTCTGTCTTTTTCTTTTATTTGAGATAGGGTCTCGCTCTGTTGCCCAGACTGGAGTGCAGTGGCGCCATCTCGGCTCACTGCAACCTCTACGTCCCGGGTTCAAGTGATTCTCCTGCCTCAGCCTCCCAAGTAGCTGGGACTACAGGCGCCCACCACCATACCTGGCTAACTTGTAGTTTTAGTAGAGATGAGGTTTTACCATGTTGGCCAGGCTGGTCTCGAACTCCTGACCTCAAAGTGATCCTGCCACCTCGGCCTCCCAAAATGCTTGGAATACAGGCAGCAGCCATGTCCGGCCAGTTTCTGTCTTTTAAGGGAGACATTAATCTCTTGTGATAGGCTCTTATGGTTGAAGTACAAACATAGCCTCAGATCTGTTGTTGAAAAAAGTAAGTATTTAACAGCTTTTCAGATAATTGTGGGTATTCTTCCTTGATGCTACAGCCAAACTCATTAAGTGGGAGTTTTGTAGAGAGTAGTTGTGGAGTCTGAGACCGTATCAGTGAACCTCATCGTTCAAGGGGCAGAAAAGTCCATGACTGGGGTCCAGCTGAGTGGGTTCCGGTGCTGGCTCTCTCACTGGCTCGCTGTGTCCTCGCAGGGTGGACAGAGAACAAAAGGGAGCCCTCTGGTGTTTTTGTTAAAAGGACACTAATCCTGTTGGATCAGGGCCCCACCCTCATGGCCTCGTCAAACCTTAATTACCTCTGTAAAGGCCCTATATAGTCATGTTGGGGGTTAAGGTTGACTGTAACAGTTAATACCACCGCCAGCCTTATCACAAGTTTTTTAAATATTGGAAAGTTGGCAAGTTCATGTTGTCAAACCTAAGTTTTTCAAAATCTTGAGGTTTACCTGCGGCAGTTACGGTCAGCTGTTTCCCTTGAAGTAACAGCCCCCTGGCTTGCATACAAGGCAGCGCCTGCCAGGTGCCTATCTAAGCGACTGTAGTTGGCCAGCATTCTTTGAGGTGAAACGACCAGGAACAGCCTCTTCGCCTCACCACTCATTCCATGCATGTGGTTCCTTGAAGGAACCACCTCGCTTTGGTATGCAGCAGGTGCATGCTGCATGCTTCCCACACCCTCACAGCACATGGAAACATCTGCGCAGGATGAGACTTAACAAAATGCTCATTTTGTCCAGCACCTTCTTTTATTGTTTTTTGAGATGGAGTCTTGCTCTCGTCACCAAGGCTGGAGTGCAGTGGCGCGATCTCGGCTCACTGCAAACTCTGCTTCCAAGGTTCAAGTGATTCTTCTCCCTCAGCCTCCCGAGTAGCTGGGATTACGGGAACCCACCACCGCGCCTGGCTAATTTTTGTATTTTTGGTAGAGACAGGGTTTCTGCATGTTGACCAGGCTGGTCTCGAACTCCTGATCTTGTGATCCACCTGCCTCGGCCTCCCAAAGTGCTGGGATTACAGGCGTGAGCCACTGCGCCCGGCTGTCCATCCAGCATCCAGCATCTTCTGAAGTGAAGCTGGGGTGTTTGCTTTTGGTCTGTGAGGAATGTGACAGCAGTGACAGCAGGGGTGCACCGGCCGTGGCTTCCACAGAGCCCTGGGCTCTTGCCGGCTGCCGATGCTGCACCATCAGTGCAGGCATCAATGAAGCCAAAAACAGAAATCACGGCTGAGTGTTCTTAGGAAAGGGGCTTCACCTTGGGCTACTCTGGAGAGGTCCAGGCAACCCAAGGGCCTCTGGACCAGTGCATCAGCCTTCCCGCCTGCATAATCCTGAAGGTGATGGGCATACAGAATCTGTTCTGTCCACGGGGTCCTGCGAGAACAAAAGGGGGACTCGGTACAGATGTTCCACCTGGGGAAGGGCTGGGACTAGGCTGGGAAGTTTCTTTCTATTCTTTTCTTTTTTTTTTTGAAACGGGGTCTCGCTCTGTCGCCCAGGCTGGAGTGCAGTGGCGCGATCTCAGCTCGCTGCAAGCTCCGCCTCCTGGGTTCACACCATTCTCCTGCCTCAGCCTCCTGAGTTACTGGGACTACAGGCGCCCGCCACCGCGCCTGGCTAATTTTTTGTATTTTTAGTAGAGATAGGGTTTCGCCGTGTTAGTCAGGATTGTCTCAATCTCCTCAGCTTGTGGTCTGTCCGCCTCGGCCTCCCTAAGTGCTGGGATTACAGGTGTGAGCCACCGCGCCCAGCTAGTCTGGGAGATTTCTGTGTGAACTTGAAGCCCCCAGAATGAGTCTGGGCAGGAGCTGGGGTGGAGGGGAGGCCCGTGCTGACATCTTGAGAGAATGAGAGGGAGTGTTCAGGAAGTTGGAAGCTGAAAGTGTGACCCACAGGGGTCAGGGTAGAGTCTGAGCCGGCAGGACTAGCCTCTGGAGTAGAGGCTCACACAAGGGAGGACAGAAGGATTTGAAAGCAACGGTGGAGAGAATGATAGTTCGTATCTCTTCCTTCCCGGGAATTACACACCTTATTGCTACTTCTTGTCATGTTGCGTTGGCTTAGAGCATCACAACAGTGTTTCTTCTTTTTTATTTTTTATTTTGAGACAGATTCTCACTTTGCCACCCAGGCTGGAGTGCGGTGGTGTGATCTTGGCTCACTACACCCTCCATCTCCCGAGTACAAGTGATTCTCATGCTTCAGCCTCCCGAGTAGCTGAGACTACAGGCGGGCGTCACCAAGCACAGCTAATTTTTGTATTTTTAGTAGAGACGGTTTTGCCATGTTGCCCAGGCTGGTCTCGAACTCCTGGCCTTAAGTGATCCGCCTGCCTTGGCGTCCCAAAATACTGGGATTACGGGTGTGAGCCACTGTGTCCGGCTCATTTGTGTAGTTTTCTGAGGGTTCTTTTTTTTTTTTTTTTTTTTAAATCAGGAATAGATGTCGGATTTTACCAAATGCCTTTTTCAGATACCTTTTTTCACCTTTGATATATTGATGTGGAATTACAATAGTAAATTGCCAGATGTCACAGCATCCTTGTATTCTTGTAATTCACCCTGTGTCGCACCATCCTTGTATTCCTGTAATTTACCCTGTACAAGGAGGCATTGTGGGCAGGGTGGTGCCCTCTTCCCTGGCCGGTGACCCCTAGGCTCTGGTGCCTCTCTGAGGGATTGTGAAGGAGCTCTTGGATGAAAGACTGGGCCTGAGGTCTGGCTGGAGAGTGCTGCCATGCGGGGAGTTGCTGTGGGTGTGACAGAGTGGCCCTGGTTGTGGCCAACGAGGCTCAGGCAAGAGGACGGGGACAAGAACCCCCAGAGCAGTCCCTCCTGATGGGGCCCTGTTCCCTTCCCCAACTCAGAGCAACGACATGCCCTTCGACGAGCTGCTTGCACTCTATGGCTACGAGGCATCAGACCCCATTTCAGACCGGGAGAGTGAGGGTGGTGACGTGGCCCCTGACCTCCCGGACATGACCCTGGACAAGGTGAGTGAGCGCCCTTCCTGGAACTGGCCCCCAGCAGAAGGTGGGGGGGCCTGGGGCTGCCTCTCTGCAAGGGGGTGTTCAGTGAGAAGAGGCACAAAGGCCCCCAGAACAAGTAGAATGTAGCTACCTGTGACCACTCCCCCGGGGTTGGAATGGCCACGGGCATGGGGCTGGACCCTAGCCTTAACCCCGGGCCACAAGTCATTCTGGCTTGGGTGGGTGGAGGGGCACATCGGGGCCTCCCCAGGACCAGTTTTTCTGCCATTCCATACCCAGAGGTCACAGGTTGAGAGTTGGGTGTTGGGAGCAGGGGAGGGCTGCATTGCAGAAGGTTAAAACCAAATGCACAGGCAGAGAAAGAGCCACGCACTCTGGGCACGTGCCCCGTGGCAGCTCTCACTGTCTCCAGCTCTGGTGACGGGGTGTGGGCTCCCACGTGTCCCGTCTCATCCCTGCTCCCCCGATGCTGTGCACCCTCGGTGGCGTCTCCACCTCCGTTTCCTTATCTGCAGAACGGGAATAGCGGCCCCACGTGAGCCTCAGGGCCCTCCCAGTGTCTTTATTGTTGTTATCATTAGTGATATTGCGAGATTGTTAAAAGTAAAATGTTCTTTACTTTTTTTTTTTTTTAAAGGAACAAATAGCAAAGGATTTGCTTTCAGGGGAAGAAGAGGAAGAGACACAGTCATCTGCTGACGACCTCACCCCGTCCGTGACCTCCCACGAGGCCTCCGACCTCTTCCCTAACCGGAGTGGATGTAGGTGACTCTGTCCCCATCCTCCACCGCAGCCAGGCCCGCTGCCAGGCAGTCGTGATGCTTGATGAAGGGTCCTTGGGCTGACACAGGCCAAGAGCTCGTCACAGTTGAGGGCATCTGCCTGGTGGGAAGTGTCAGCAGCCCTGGGGGTGCTTTGTTCTCCCCTGCGCTGGCCAGTGAGCCTGGACTCGCAGAGCGATTCGGTTTCAACAAGCAGGGAACACGTTGGTTCCCCTAGCAGATCCAGGGACAGCATCCCCAGAACCGTCCTCCCTCACAAGCCTCTGTGCTGGCTTTCTTGGGAACTGAGGGCTCGGGGCCCAGCGGTGCAGCAGCCGCCTAGAAGGGAAGGCCTCTGTCTTCAAAGGTGCATCCTGGGTCGTGGGTCCTGGGCCCATCTGTGTACCCAGCGTCTGGCCAGGGAGAGGGTCACGGCCTGGGGATCAGGTGGATGGAGAGTGGGAGTGGAGGGTCTTTGCCCAGAGGAGGGGTTGTACGGGCTGCAGGACCCTGGGGGACCTGCCTCTGTTTTCCCAAAGCTCATTTCCTGGCTGATGAAGACAAAGAGCCTGGCTCTTCTGCCTCCTCTGACACCGAGGAGGACTCTCTTCCTGCCAACAAATGTAAGAAGGTGCGTGGCTCTGCCGTGTCCCCAGCCTGGCATCCCGGCCGTGGCTCTGCGGTGTCCCCAGCCTGGCATCCCGGCCGTGGCTCTGCCGTGTCCCCAGCGTGGCATCCCGGCCGTGGCTCTGCGGTGTCCCCAGCCTGGCATTCTGGCCGTGGCTCTGCCGCGTCCCCAGCCTGGCATCCCGGCCGTGGCTCTGCCGTGTCCCCAGCCTGGCATCCCAGCCGTGGCTCTGCGGTGTCCCCAGCCTGGCATTCTGGCCGTGGCTCTGCCGCGTCCCCAGCCTGGCATTCTGGCCGTGGCTCTGCCGCGTCCCCAGCCTGGCATCCCGGCCGTGGCTCTGCCGTGTCCCCAGCCTGGCATCCCGGCCGTGGCTCTGCGGTGTCCCCAGCCTGGCATCCTGGCCGTGGCTCTGCCGTGTCCCCAGCCTGGCATCCTGGCCGTGGCTCTGTCGTCTCCCCAGCCTGCCGTCCCGGCCACAGTAACCGAAGCTGGGTCCTGCTGAGCCCTCTCCCTGGGTTTGTGCCTCTTCTCAGAGGACGTGCTGCTCAACCTCAGGGTGGGCTGGGACCGGCTCCAGGTGCTTTGGACTGGAGCCTGGGTCCCTGCTGCTGACCCAGAGTGTTTGTCCTCCGACATCCTGTCTGGGTCTCTGCCAGGCCGGGCGTCAGGACACAGCCCCCTCACATACCCAGGCCTCTGCCTCCCACCCTCAGACCCCAGAACTGGGCATCAGCAGGTAGACTGCACAGATGGGTCTGGGGTCTGGGCAGCGGCCCCTCCACCTGAGCCCGCCACAGCACGCTGCAGCCAGCCTCCCGCCCGGCTTGCGTGCTCCTCAGTGTCCTGATTCCCAGGCCCTTGCTTTGCAGGAGATCATGGTGGGACCTCAGTTCCAAGCTGACCTCAGCAACCTGCACTTGAACCGGCACTGTGAGAAGAGTAAGTAGGGCCTGGGGAGAGGAGGCGAAACCCACTTCTGCTGGGGAGTGGCCTGGCTGGACGTCGGACCCTCGAACAGTCTTGTCAGGTCCCCTGCCTGCGTCGCTCACTGGGGCAGCTGAGCCTGTGGCTGGAGGAGGTGGGACGCTCTCTTGGCTGCAGTGGGCCTGTGGCTGCCTGCCCCTGCCCAGCTCGGTCCCTCCCTCAGAGTCTGCTTCCGTCACCCTGCGCAGCCAGACCCTCAGCAGCCCATCCTGCCCCTGACCCAGCCCTGCCCCGCCCTTGACTCCAGCCGTCTCCCCCCAGCCAGGGCTGCGGCGTTCGATGGCTCTGTGCCAGGTTAGACAGTTCTCCAGTGAGACCTGCCGGGTGTTGCGGTGCGCCCCTGCCTTCTCCGCTCCTCTTCGGGGCACTCCCTTTCCTGGACCTGATCTTTGTCTCTTTCCCGCTAGAGTTCAGAACTGAGCCTCTCTTGCCCCTTCAAGGCATGGAGTCACGTGCCCATTGACTTGGGTCTCGTTTGTCTTGCCCTGGAGCCCTCGCAGGCCCTGGGCCAGTGCTCCTAGCTCAGGAACCTTCTCCAGGGTGATTCAGTGGTTGAGACTGGCGGTGGGAAGGGATAGGCAGGTGCAGCAGGAGTGCCGAGTCCAGGGAGACAGGGACCCTCCGTGAAGAGAAGCCATCCTCCTGGGGCTGGTGGGAGGTGCCCTGTGTGAGAAGAGGATGGAGCCAGGCAGGCGCAGCCAAGCTGCTGGGACATCCAGAAGGCAGGGTCAGAGGGGACACATGGGACCTTCACCCAGAGTCCCTGGCCTTGGGGTCTGTCATCAGGGCCCTTTCCCCACTCTGACTCACCCCCCCATGAGGGTGCCCTGTCCGGAGCAGCCAGAACTTCTTCATCCCGTGGGATGCCAGCTGGCCCCTCCCCCTTGGTATAACGCCTGTGTCATTCGAGTCGTCTCTGTGGTTGTGTGTGTCTTGTGTATTGCCCTGTGGTCCTTGGTTTGGATGCCGTGGTTGTGTGTGTCTCGTGTATTGCGTTGTGATGATGTCTGTCATTTGAGTCTGCATGGTTGTGTCTTGTGTATTGCATCCTGGTCCTTGGTTTGGATGCCCTGGTTGTGTGTGTCTTGTGTGTGGCATCCTGGTCCTTGGTTTGGATACCACATTTACCCACGCTTTCTGCCGTGGGCTGTGGTCGCCGTTGATTCAGTTGTGGGCTGTGAACGCCCTCGTGTGGGTTGTTAGTGGACATAGGCACTTGGTACCTGATGGACAGCAGGGAGTTGCGTGGTGGATGTGTGCTTAGGGCCACGCCTGAGTTTCTCACTGGTGATTTGTGGGGGTCGGTGGTTGATGGACGACTGGGAGTTGCGTGGTGGATGTGTGCTTAGGGCCACGCCTGAGTTTCTCACTGGTGATTTGTGGGGGTCGGTGGTTGATGGACGACTGGGAGTTGCGTGGTGGATGTGTGCTTAGGGCCACGCCTGAGTTTCTCACTGGTGATTTGTGGGGGTCGGTGGTTGATGGACGACGGGGAGTTGCGTGGTGGATGTGTGCTTAGGGCCACGCCTGAGTTTCTCACTGGTGATTTGTGGGGGTTGCTGCACATTCTTGGTGTTTGCCGCCGAGGGTGAATTTGCCTGAGTTTTACCCTCCTGGTGGATATGGACTTTTGTTCCGTTGTGGCTTTAATTGGCATTTCCCGCCGGTGTCCTGGCCGTTTGAATGTTCTCTCTTTGCGTGCTCAAAGCTTCCCCCCGTTTTGGTGTCTTTCTCTTCCGGGTTTGTCGCCGTTCACATGTTCTGGAAGCCGGTCTCGGTGGGCTCTGCTCCTGTGTCCTCCGGCTTGGGGCTTGCCCATCAACTCTCAGTGATGTCTTTAATTTTAATATAGTCCAACTTACCAATCTTTATTTGAATAATAATGTGTTTGTGTTCTATTTGAGGAGTGTTTGCTTACCCTCAGGCTCTTGACGATATTCTTCCATGCTTCCTTCTAGAAGATTTATTGTTTTTCCTTTCACATTTAAAGCTGTAATCCAACTTAGTTTAAATTTTGGTGCATGGTGGCCGGGCGGGTGGCTCACACGTGTAATTCCAGCACTTCGGGGGGCCAAGGCGGGAAGATCACTTGAGGTCAGGAGATTGAGACCAGCCTGGCCAACATGGTGAAACCCTGTCTCTACTGAAAATACAAAAATTAGCCGGGCGTAGTGGCAGGCGCCTGTAATCCCATTGGGAGACTGAGGTAGGAGAATTTCTTGAACTGCAAGGCAGTGGTTGCAGTGAACTGAGATTGCACCACTGCACTCCAGCCTGGGCCACAGAGCGAGACTGTCTCAAAAAAATAAAAAGTAAATAAATTTTAGCGTGCGGCGTGAGGTGGTGTGAAGTATGGGTTAGGGTTAGGTATTTTTTTCCACGTGGCTGTGCAGTTGCTCCAGCACCATCTACAGCGTGAGGTGGTGTGAAGTATGGGTTAGGGTTAGGTATGTTTTTCCATGTGGCTGTGCGGTTGCTCTAGCACCGTATATTGAAAAGACCATGGCTGGGCACGGGGGCTCACGCCTGTAATCCCAGCACTTTCGGAGGCTGAGGCGTGTGGATCACCCGAGGTCAGGAGTTCGAAACCAGCCTGGCCAACATGGCAAAACCTTGTCTCTACTAAAAATACAAAAATTAGCCGAGAGTGGTGACGCCCACCTGTAATCCCAGCTACTTGGGAAGCTGAGGCAGGAGAATCACTTGAACCTGGGAGGCGGAGGTTGCAGTGAACTGAGATCACATCACTGAACTCCAGCTTGAGCGACAGAGCAAGACTCCGTCTCAAAAATAAAAATAACAGGCCGGGCGCGGTGGCTCAAGCCTGTAATCCCAGCACTTTGGGAGGCCGAGACGGGCGGATCACGAGGTCAGGAGATCGAGACCATCCTGGCTAACACGGCGAAACCCCGTCTCTACTAAAAACACAAAAAATTAGCCCGGCGAGGTGGCGGCGCCTGTAGTCCCAGCTACTCGGGAGGCTGAGGCAGGAGAATGGCGTGAACCCGGGAGGCGGAGCTTGCAGTGAGCTGAGATCTGGCCACTGCACTCCAGCCTGGGCGACAGAGCGAGACTCCGTTTCAAAAAAAAAAAAAAAATAAAAATAAAAACAACAAAAGCCCATTCTCTCTCCCACTGAGTTGCAGCGATGCGTTTGTGATAAGGTGCCTGTAGGTGTTTCTTGTCTCACCCCGAGTCATCACCATCATCTCAGTTATTACAGGTTTACAGGGAAGTCCGAGGTGGTGCAGGTCTTCCAACTTTGTAAGTTTTCGTTGCATATCTATATCAGTTACTTATTTATTTATTTTTTTTGAGGCGGAGTTTCGCTGTTGTTGCCCCGGCTGGAATGCAATGGTGCGATCTGAGCCCACTGCAACCTCCGTCTCCCAGGTTTAAGCGATTCTCCTGCCTCAGTCTCCTGAGTAGCTGGGATTACAGGCATGTACCACCACACTCGTCTAATTTTGTATTTTTAGTAGAGACGGGGTTTCTCCATGTTGGTCAGGCTGGTCTCGAACTCCTGACCTCAGGTGATCCTCCTGCCTCAGCCTCCCAAAGTGCTGGGATTACAGGCATGAGCCACTGCGCCCGGCCACATATCTGTGTAAGTTTTAAGATTAAAACTTATGTTTTTGGCAACTGAAAAGTGTTAATCTTTTTTTTTTTTTTTTTGAGGTGGAGTCTTGCTCTGTTGCCCAGGCTGGAGTGCAGTGGTGTAATCTCAGCTCACTGCAACTTGTGCCTCCTGGGCTCAAGCAGTTCTCCTGCCTCAGCCTCCCGAGTAACTGGAATTACAGGTGCCAGCCATCACGCCTGGCTAATTTTTGTATTTTTAGCAGAGATGGGGTTCCACCATGTTAGCCAAGCTGGTCTCAAGCTCCCGACCTCAGGTGACGCACCCGCCTCGGCCTCCCAAAGCGCTGGGATTACAGGCGTGAGCCACCGTGCCTGGCCCATACATTGATTTTCAAACGTTAAATTAACTGCACGGTGGAATAAACGCGCTGCCTGGCCGTGAAGTGTTCTCTGTCGTGTTTGTGTATCACGTGCACTCAGTCCTCATTATTTGTGGATTCTGTACTGGGGAGTTGCCTGCTTGCTAAAATGTATTTGAAACCTCAAATCAGAACTCGCGACACTTTTATGGTCAGGTGCCAGCAGATGTGTGTAGTGTGGCAGCGAAGGTGAGTTACCTGAGTGCATTTCCAGCTGAAGTGGGACAAGGTGCTGCTCTGTCTTGTCTCTCAGCCCTTTTACTGCGAGCAAGCGCCTTTCGTGCCGTGTGCTTAATGCCATTTTCCACATCGTTGTGTGCTTTCTGTGGGCAAATTTACGGTTTAACATAGCGCCTAAATGTGGTGCCGACGTTCTGTCTGGTGTTCCTAAGTGGAAGAAGGCTATGATGTGCCTTTCAGAGAAAATTCGAGAAACTCCACTCAGGCGTGAGCTCTGGTACTGCTGGCCGTGAATTCAGCGTGAATGAATCCATAAGGTAGATTCAGTGAGACGGTGGTCCCCATCCTTGTTTGGCACCAGGGGCTGGTTTCGTGGAAGACAGTTTTTCCACGGATGGTGGAGTAGGGGGCGTGGTTTCAGGAGGAAACCGTTCCACTTCAGATCATGAGGCATTAGATTCTCGTAAGGAGTGTACAGCCTGCAGCCCTGGCGTGTGCAGTTCGCAGTGGGATTTGTGCTCCTATGAGGATCTGATGCCACCACTGGTCTGACAGGAGGTGGAGGTCAGGCAGTGACGCTGGCTCGCCCGCCGCTCACCTCCCGCTCTCCCGCCGCTCACCTGCTTGCCTGCTGCTCGCCTCCTGCTGTGCAGCCAGTTCCTAACAGGCTGTGGACCAGTAGTGGTCTGTGGTCTGGGGGTTGGGAACGCCTGCAATAACACAGTTTTTAAAATTTAAATGTTATTTATATATTTTTTTAATTTAAATTTTATGTAT